AGTGTCCAGTCAGTGTGTCTGTATGAACCCCTCTCTCTCAGTGCAGTGTTAATGTACTGGAGTGTCCAGTAAGGACAGGGTGATCACCTCTCCTTCCTCTCCGTTTCTCAGGGGTTGACGTGTGGAATCCTGCCTTCGACGTCACTCCGCATCAGCTGATCACAGGTGGCATCATCACAGAGCTGGGCGTCTTCCTACCTTCAGAGCTGCAGGCTGCGCTGACCGGCCGGCTCACTGCGCTCTAGTGACCCCTGCTGGAGGGAGGCTGCAGTGTAGCCCTGCGCGCTGGCTTATACACTAACGCACACACACTGCCCTGCGACCCCTGTGCCCTTCTCATCGCCTTCTGTCACCAGGATTTCTGCGCCTTTCCTTATATGGGCCCCAGCAGCCGGCAAAATTCCAGTCTGTATCCTGCCATCATGGAGAACTGTCACCCCCCCCGCCCTCCAAGGCCGGACTTCCTCGTACCCATCTCTTCCACCCACTCCGTTTATTTAGCCCAAGAACTTTTCCCACGTCTGACATTCCTTCTTCCAGCTGATCTGGGAAAATCGCTTTGTCTGTGACACTAGCCCGAATCCAGGCTTTTCCAGGGCCGACTCGGAGTCGATCTGCTACTCCTCCTGACCAGCTCCGACAGGGAGGGTTCGAGTAAAGACCGTGGCCTTTAGGGTTTAGGGTCGCCTGCAGGGACACAGCTGAGCAGAGCCGCAGGGGCAGGCGTGCAGTCTGTACAGCACTTACGCACAAATACACACACAGACGACTGCCGACGCACAAATACACACACAGACGACTGCCGACGCACAAATATACACACACGACCGCTGATGCACAAATACACACACACCAGCCCTGCTCTCCTGAGGGTCTGGGGCTCTGGATAAAGACAGCCCTGGTTGCCCTGGTTACCCGGGGGCTGCAGGTCTCCCACTCTCTGCTTGGGTGTTTCCCTTGAGGTGCCTGACAGGTGCTGAGACCTTACGGGTCAGAAACGAATGTGATTCCAGGCCATCTCTCTGCAGACAGAACCCCCCTTCCCGAGCTGGACAGCGGCTGTAGCCCAGGCCAAGATCACAGGCAGGGCTGACCACTTTCGTGCTGCTACTGGGAGTCCAGTCCAGTCCTGTCCTGGGGGGACAGTGTGTCTGCAGGAGGGTTCAGTCCAGGTCCTGGGGGGGGTGGTGTGTCTGCA